TCTCTATTCTATTCTATTCTTTTGTCAGCAACTAACAAGAAAGCCTGAGCAATAAAGAATGGAAGCCTTTGAACTCTGATGCTGGAGAAGACTCCTGCAAGTCCCTTGGACTGCAAGTGATCAAACCGGTCAATCCTAGAGAAGATCAACCCTGACTGCTCTTTAGAAGGCCAGAAGAAACTTTAACCTTAGGCTGTCTACTATTGACCTCACCCCTTTCCTAAGAGGTCTGTAGGGGGCGTGCATAAGCGCACCAATGTGCCTACTGTCCCTATCCTATTGTTTCTTTTATTTTTCTTATATGTACCCATTTCATGTATTCATAACTATGTATATACTTATACCTATTAATCTTGTAAGCAATTGTCAAAAATAAATAAATAAATAAATAAAAAATAAGGATGAAACTCAAATACTTTGGCCACCTAATGAGAAGGAAGGACTCACTGGAGAAGAGCCAGGGGTGGGTTTCTACCCATTCTGTCCACCTCTGTAGAACCGGTAGCTCTGAAGAGCAGATGTTTTTGCCCACCTGCCCACCTGGGCTCTTACCTGACCTTTATTTCCTGATTTTTTCAACTTCAGCTGCCGAACAAGGCACAGCTGCAGTTAAAAAAGCAGGAAAAGAGGGCTGTTTCAAAGGCTGCTTCTCTGCGCGCAGCGTGCTGATGATGATTTACAGGTGCGCGGCTCGCAGAGTGCAGGGAAGCACATCATAAATCACTGAACCTTGTAAATCCCGAACCGGTAGTTAACCCTGTCAAATCCCACCCCTGAGAAGAGCCTAATGCTGGGAATGATTGAGAGCAAAAGAAGAAGAAGGAGACTACAGAGAATGAGGTGGCTGGATGGAGTCACTGAAGCAATTTGACGTGAGCTTAAAATGGACTCCAGAGGATGGTAGAGGACAGGAAGGCCTGGAGGAACGTTGTTGTGATGAGTCAGACACAACTTCACGACTAACAACAATATTAAAACTGTTCATAGTGAGTTCCAGGATATCACTTGTGAAAAGGAATAGCTGGCCATCCTATGTTTTCTGAATGCTTTCATCTCGTCACTGGGCAAGTTCCGTAAGAATGTCAGATGTGATTCACATCATGGAATCTCAGTACGTTTTGAATTGGACTTGAACTTCCTCATTCTTCCCTAGATATACTTATTGGCTGGTTCAATTGAATCATGACGCCTCTGGTTGACATGACTGTGGGAAGAACAGAGTACTGGTAGCCTCACAAATTTTGGATGTCACTATCATATTTGAAATCATGTAATCTGCAGAAGCCATGTGGGCAGGAGTTTTCTAGATGAATAAAGTCATGTGTGGGAGGACTGCAGATGCTAACAAGGAGTCATGTTGTTCAGATAACACTTCAATTAGGAATTTGCTTCCTTAATAATTTTATTCTGTCCTTTTATGGTCAATGAAAGGACTTTCGTTTCTTTGATGCCCAGCATGGAATAATACTCCATTATGGGAATAAGACCAGAATCTATTAATATTTGCATCTACTGTTATCTTACTATCTTCTTCCTGGTACTTTACCAGTTTGATACGGTGTCCTGGTGTAGTTGTTATTGCCCAGGTACATTCCTTCTTGCTTGGGTATTTATCAGGCCAATTTGGGCTGGTGATGGTTCCAGTGATGGATGTCATCTTGTGGTCACAGCCAGCTAGAATAAAAATAAGTTCATAAATAGATAAGTTCCAAAAGATTTCCTTTCTAAATCAATCTGGTTTGCATATGTGCATCCAATGTAGCGTCACATTGCTATTACCAAATTTGACCTCATAGAAACAGTGCATCTTTGAGCCAGGTTTAATCATACTAACTGAACCATATTTATCTACCTGAACTATATGTATCTTCTAGTATAGCATCTCAAGAAGATACTTTTTTTCTCCAGAGATTTGCAAACCTTGAAACTTTTACACTGAAATTTGAATCTTCTGCAAGTAAAGTAGCGGACTTGAACCGCTAATTGTCTCATCCTAGCAAGAAAACATGGGATTAAAAGTCCAAAGCGTAGAATTTTCTTGAACGTTCTGTGTAATTTTTTAATGAATAGACTTTAATGTTTATTATATTCGCCCCCTCAAACAATTTTTAAAATTTCATTTGCGATTTTAATCCCTCTTATGAATTTTAAGATGAGCTCTAGTAAGATAAGAATGTTGAACGTGGGTTTTGTTTTGAATATATCAGACTGCCTTATTTTTGCAACATAGCATGATCCAGATATTTGTGCAATGCAAATTCCCAGAATAGTCAACTGGTTTGAGACTTTTGGAAGTACTGGTCCCAACACAACTGAAAGAAGCCAGCTGGGGAAGATTCTAAGACAGAGATATCCAACCTTGATCATTTTAAGACTTGTGGACTTCAACTCTCATGGATGACTGGGGAATTGTGGGAGTTGAAGTCCACAGGTCTTAAAGTGGCCAAGGTTGGACAGCTCTGATCTAAATGACAACTGTCACAAACAAAATGCTTTCCAAAAGGAATGAAAACATACTATTTATTTTCACTGATACCTCTGGTCTGAAATAATCTGATCGGATACATTACAGCTTTCCTATTCATGTAGCAGAAAGTGTGGTGATGACAGTATCTAGATTAGTCTTTTAAAGTTGGCAACTCTAAGATGGGTGGACTTCTGGGAGTTGGAAGTTCATCCAGCTTAAAGTTGCTGAGGTTGACAAACATTACTGAAGACTATGAGGAAAAGAAAGATCATGATAGCCTTCTGTGAATGAATATGGAAGGAAACAGCATGGCTATATATGAACATTTCCTGGTTGATGGAAAGAGCAAGACAGTATCAAAAAGAGCTCCGGTTCTGCTTCATGCTTCTCCAAAGCTTTTGAGCTGTTGATCATCCAAGACATTAGACATCTTTCAAAGCAATGAGTACGTCCTGGGATCTGATTTTTCTGAAATCTGGAGAATAATCAGGAAGCCACAGAATTTGGTAATACTGAAAAGATTTCCCATAGGAAAAGGAGTGTTAAACATTGGGGAAATCAGGAGAGTATACATAAACATTCAAGCTGGGTTGGACTTATATCTTCTTGTGGGTGCACAGGGACTCATGGCTGCTGATATATTTGACCCTTCCCTCAGGCTCAGCCTGGTCATCTTCTACAAGGAGTCAAAGAAGACTGCACCCTATCGCCCTATCTATTCATTTTATGGAATCCACATATATTAAAATTGCCATGTTTGAAAAACCCAGATTTATAGTGTAAGAGCTTCTCTTGCAAAGCTATGTGATTTGTTTTTTATTTTAATGTATATCCCGTCTTCGTTATTTTTATAAACATCTCATGGCGGTGAACCCATCCTCCTCCTCTTTTCCTCACAATGACGGCCCCCGTGTGGTGAGTTGGGTTCAGTGGTGGGATTCTACCAGTTTCCCTACCAGTTCGATGATCACACACTTCACGCGTGCGCATGCACCTGACATGTGCACAGCTTTCCAAACACCAGCTGAGGTTCTGCCATGCCAATCAGCTGAGAGGATAAAGAACAGAAAAGCGCAAGGGTGGTTGGCAAGGCTGATCCTGCACTTTTCTCTTCTCAGCTGATCATCGGAGATTTTTTTGCTACTGGTTCGATTGAACCAGGACGAACCGGTAACATTTCGCCACTGGTTGGGTTGGGAGAAAGGGATTGGCCCAAGGCCACCCAGCTGGCTTTCATTGGAAAGATGGGACTGGACCTCATAGTCTCTGTTTCTAGCCTGATGTCCTAACTAAGGGACCAAAATGAAATGAATGGATGCGACGCAAACCTATTGCCATGTTGGATATGAAGAGCATCCACCTAAGTAGACAACTTGACCCCAATAACCTTATTTTTGTCCATATGGAGTTTAATGAAACGTTATGACCAATAGCCTTTGGAAGACTCACAGTGGGAGCCCTTTTCATGAAGAAAATAAGGCGCAATACCTTCTTTACAGTCATGCTTGTTGTCGTGTAGCACAAAGCCACTGCGGCACTGGCACTCATAGCTGCCAAAGGTGTTGAGACATTCATGCTGGCATCCACCATTATCCTTCGAACATTCATCTTTGTCTAGGAAAGGAACATCGATTGCTTAGCAAACTGCCCTGTACTGAGTCACATGATCACCGCGGGCAACTCAACTATATCTACATCGGTTCGGTGATTAAAAGAAAAAAGACAATTTCCCTTATCTGAATTCCTTTCTTAAAATCTATTTCTTACCACCTTCTTTGCAGCCTCTTCTTTAGTAGGAGAGTAGAACTCGGTGCAAACATGGAGCCAGTTTATTCATTAAGCAGAATAAAATAGCTACTGTCCTCTTTTATTAATCTATGTGTATTGTGTGCTCAGATTTCCCCGATGTCTTTACAAATTATTGGCAGATAATAATGGAGTTGTCAAGAAGATTTCAGTCTAAGCCTCTCCCTGGCCCTTGAGTCTGATAATGCAATAAACTGAGTTTCTCTCTTCACTGTTTGTGTCTCTTCATCTCAGTCTTGGCCATTTCCAAAATAAACTGTGGTTACTGTTCTTAGGCTGTATATCTCTGTAACCGCTGCAGTTGCATTGGCCCAAGGTTGACTTTTCTATGCAAAAGTAAGCTACAAAACCCTGGGCAGCTCACACGCTTAGCCTAGGCCGATCTAGAACCCCGAGGCCGATCTAGAAAGAAATCTATAAACAGCAACATCAGCATTCACCCAAAGGGAGGAGAAAGCCAGAGAAGCACGCCCAACAATCCTAGCCAACGAACAAGCCGAAGTCACATTTAGATCTAGAATGGGCATAACCATTACCTGCTTACTGAACAGAGGGACTGAGTTTAAAAACAGACACAGCGACAACAAGGAGATGCAGAAAAAGAGAACAGAACATGGCATATCTTCTTTACTTAGCAACAGTAAATGTCACAGACACAATAAAAAATGCAAAATGAAATCAGCTGGTCTCATGACCAAACCACAGCAATTAAATGCTTCAGGGCACGAATTAATTAATTATTTTAAAAATAGCTATCAGTTCAGTCAAGTAAGACTTGGAGGAGCACGGCCAGAGAGTTGAACGTTGGCCCTTTCTCTCGATAGTACTAAATGCTCCATGCTTTTTTTTAACACGGAACAGAGAGAAGGAGGCGCTCGCTGTGCGTGAGGAAGGAGGAACACGGGCGATTTGGTTCCTCTGGAGTTCCTGAGAAACAAACAGAAGGGGAAGCCGAGTTCATTCTTAGACTTTTGTGCGCTTCTTCAGGCGAAATTTCAAGCCAGGACGCATTTTGGGCTGCTGAACCTTTTCTGAAATGAGACAGGGGGGAAAAAAAAATAAAAAATAAAAAGATAAGAGAGAATGTCATATCAGTGGAATCCAGTTGTTCTTACATAATCCATTGGAGGGTCATGCAGGAAAGAGGCCATACTCTTACAACAGCTATCAGAAACAGCCAAATGAAGAAGAAGCTAAGATACAGGTTGGCATACCGTTATAAGAAGACTGCCAGAAGGAACAGCATTAAAATCTAGTAGAAGCCAAAGAGGAACTTATCAGCCAATTCAAGATAAACCATTGCTCTAACACTTCTGGATAATCTTCAAAAGCCACAACGGCTGGCTGCAGAGGGCAACTTTGCTACAAGGGATCACAATAGAGAGAGGGTTGGGATCAGGGGTGGGATTCAAAAATCCCAGCAACCGGTTTGCTGCCCACTTGCTGGGTGGGGATGGGCATGGTGGGAATGGGGGAGCCGTTTTTCACCTTCCCAAAGGTCTGGAGGCTTTCTGCGGGTCTCTGGGAGGTCGAAAACAAGAGCTCTGCAAGCTCTCCGGAAGCCGGAAACAGGCCCGTTTCAGGACTTCTAGTACTTCCAGGAGGCCATTTTTGTCTTCCCAAGGGTCCGGAGGCTTCCCCTGGGCCTCTGGGAGGGCGAAAACAGTCTCCCCCAGATTCTGGAGGCCCTCCGGAAGTAGGAAACAAGCCCATTTCTGGACTTCTGGTATTTCTGGAAGGCCTGTTTTCCCCCCTTCCAGAGCCTCCGCGTGGACCCTGCACTTACCTGCATCGAAAATGGGCCACATGGAGATTCCTAGGAGGAGCGAGGCAGGCGGGCCCAGCTGGTCGCTTCAAATACCAGTTTGGCAAACCAGATGCAAATTTAACATCCAGTTCTCCAAAACCAGTCCGAAATGGTAGAATCCCACCCCTGGATGATGAAAAGACCATGCCATCTCTTCAGACCCAAACTGACCTGTCCTGATTGGGGGTTTGGGGGGGTGTCTCTTTTGATTGGGGATGAGATTGGGGATGAAATCCAAGAGATTAGTTTTGGGAAGAGATCTCAAGAATATAGACTTGAGAGTTCCAACCAAAGCATCAGACCAAAGACTTCTAGTTCACTTTCTGGGAACCAACAGCAGAAGGAGAGGATCAAGGGATAAGAACTCTTTTGGAAGCCATTTTGTTAAACTGAAACGATGAATTAAGAGGATGTTCCCAACTGGCAGGTAGGACTAAGGTTATACATGATCCCAGGTAAGGCAGGCTTATTAATCACTTTAGGATTCCAAGCAGATGCTTTGAAACTGGTCCTTCTTAGCATAGCAACCCAATCTCTGAAGATTCCAATCATCTAACTTGCATTTCTGTTTTGTGTGGCACTGCGCAACTTTCACTAAAATTCTGGAACAGCAAATGGTTTCCTGCCAGCTTTCATTTCTGCGGGGATGTGAGTTTTCTCCCCTACCCTTGACAAGACTCTGCATTTGCTGGACTGAAGGTGGACTTTTACTGCTGGAGTGTCCAGTGGAAATTGCACAAATGAACTCTAATTGCCTTCCATTCTCTACACAACTTCAAAGTAACCCTCAGGGGCTTCCAGACCAGGCTTTTTATTATAAAAATAATCCTGGGTTTCTTCATAGCATTTGATACAAGCAATCCAGGCGTTACCATTCATCCTTTGGCTCATTATCATTCAAGATGGCTTATGATCCCATGACCATTCATCTCTTGGCTTTTCCCGTAACTTCCTCCATAGTTAGGAAGGGAAAAGTAAATGGCTGCACAATCGTCATTGATAGGAGCACGGTGGCTCACATGGTTAGGATGCTGGCTTGACAAGCAGCAAGTTCATGTTCGAGCCCCGAGTGTTGTGCTGTGGGATGGGGTGAGCTCGTGTCCTTCGCTCCAGCTCTTGCTGTAGGACAGGGGTGTCAAACTTGATTTCATAGAGGGCTGCATCAAGGTTGTGTTTGAACTTGGAGGCCATGGTGGCTGTGGCCAGCTCAACGTCACTCATGTCAGGGGCACCTGTGGTGGTCAAGTGCTAAGGCAAGACTTCTCTGAGACCCTCCCTCATTTCATTATAATCTTCCTTCCTTCCTTCCTTCCTTCCTTCCTTCCTTCCTTCCTTCCTTCCTTCCTTCCTTCCTTCCTTC